ATTCCAATTGCTGTATCTGGAGTGCAAATGCAAATTCTCAGCAGGGGTTGAACCAGAATGAACCAACCAGAAGCCCAGACTAGTGCACCTGCCCACCCAAGGCCTGCGGGCAGACTCTGTCCACAGGGTCAAGAAGCACTCTGATCACCATAACTGGCAGAAGACACACAGGGAGCAAAAGGGGATGTCCGCCCTGGCCTGCATGTCTGCCAATCACGTCCACAGCCCTGGCCAGGCCTGAGGTAGGGCAGAAATGAAGTTCTGGGGAGGCAGGGGCCAGAAAGACTCCCAAATGTGTAAAGAGCAGGTTCCCACTGGGCACCTGGGTTAAGGTGTGATGGACGCTCTGAAAGGGAAAGGCAGATGTTCACCTTGATGAGCAGAGAGGCTGTGGGCCGCCTGGGACCCCGATTCACACTGCCTCACGCCTGGGTGAGTGCACTGGAGGAGCAGGGAGGCCAGGAGGATAAGACGGGAGAAGAGGCATGTCTAGGCCCCATCCTCCCCCCAAAGGCCTCACTGCCAATTTTGCTTAAAGCTGAGGCTCCATAGCAAAGCCAAAGGCCAGGCCCTGCCCAAGGAAGCTCCTGGAGCCAGACTGTCAGCCACGTGCCGGTCTTAACTCCCTCACCCTATGGAAGCCCAAGCGGTGCGTGGCCAGGGTCAAAATACAAACACCAAACGACAAATGATAAACATTTGTTCCTTAAAGGATATTAAAAAAAAAAAAAAGAAAGAAATGAAAACATAAGCCACTGAATGGAACGGTATCTTTGGAAATCATACATCTGACAAGAATTTAATAACCAAAATATGTATAAAATATTGAAAACTCAACTAAAAAAACCCCAAATAACTCAAATATAAAATGGGCAGATGACCTGAATAGACAACTTACCAAAGAGGACAGTCAAATACCACCAAAGACATAAAAAGATGGTCTGTGTCATTAGGTGGTCATCAGCCATCCGAGAGATAAGCAAATCAAAACTATAATGCCCACTAGAAAGGCTAAGGTAAACCCAGAAAACGACAAACGCTGGTGCAGCCATGGGAAACTGGAATCTTTACCCACTGCCAGTGAGAATGCAAACGGTACAGCAGTTGTGGGAACAGTGTGGAGATGCCTCAAAAACTAAAAATAGGACTGCCACATGACCCAGCAATTCCACTAAGTACAGACTTGAGCAAAGGCTGCATCAGTTAGTTCCCTACAGCACCAGTCACAACATCCAGATGGAAAAGCAACCTACATGGTCCATACATAAATGGAAAGCCACTCAGCTGGAAGGAGAAATGAACCGCTGACATGCGCTACACTGTGGATAGATCTGGAAGGTGTTGTAGAGTTTCATTTAGATGTATAATCTGAAGAGTTCTGGCGGCTCAGTGGTAAGGAACTGTGCTGTCATCCCAAAGGCACATGGTTCAAATCCACCAAATGCTCTGCAGGAGGAAGATGGGCAATCTCCTCCTCCTCAATTAACTCTCTCTGGAGGCTTGGGTTTTGACTTGACAGTACAAACAACAATCATTACCATATTATAAAATATAACTTATATTTGTAAGTCACAGAAGGGCAATATTATATGACCACATCTATATAAAAAAAGAAGAAAAGGCAAAGTACAGAAAGTAGAGCTTATTAGTGGTTACTACGAAAGGGAGAGTGATTAATGATGATGGGAAAATTGCACTATTTAAAAGTGAAGTTGCACAACTGATTGTTACTGCTGTGCTAAAGGCTGTATGTAAAACAACAAAAAGAGTCACTGCTGAAGCTGTTTATATATAACCAAATATCTCACAGACTTGGTTTCTTGCTTTGCAGGTTTAGGAAAATTATTTCATGGGACAGTCTAGTTTACTGAGCCAATAAGATTCTTTAGTGCTTCTGTTCTAACTCTTGGTTTGTTCTGTCATGCCTAGAATCTTAAGGCAGCCAAAGAGAGCAAGGAACACTGCAGGTTCAAAATCAGGAACGGTGTGTGTCAGGGTTGTATCCTTTCTCTATACTTATTCACAGTCTGTATGCCAAGCAAATCATTCAAGAAACTAGACTCTACGAGGAAGAATGTGGCATCAGGACAGGATGAAAACTCATCAATCACCTGTGTTACGCATATGACAAGACCTTGCTTGTTGACAGTGAGGAGGACTTAAATGCTTGTTGCAGAAGAACAAAGACTATAGCCTTCATATGGATTGCATCTCAACATCAAGAAGACAAAAACCCTCACCACTGGACCAGTGAGCAACATCATGATGTTGTTGTTGTTATGTGCCGTCGAGTCGCTTGCGACTCATAGCAACCCTATGTACAACAGCCCTAAACTCTGCTCTGTCCTGTGCCAATCGCACTGTCTCTGACACTCCCATCCCGATTATCTCAGTCATTGAATCAATCCACCTCATAGAGGGCCTTCCCCTCCTGCACTGTCCCTCCACCCTCCCAAGCATGATGTCCTTCTCCAAGCACCGGTCTCTCCTCACAACATGTCCAAAGTATATTAAACGGAGCCTCAGAATCCTTGCCTCCAAGGAGCCACCCGGTTTAACCCTTTCCAGGATGCATCTGCTTGTTTTCCTAGCAGTCCATGGCATTCTCAATACTCTTCTCCAGCACCACAGCTCAAAGGCATCAATTCTCCTTCTATCCTCCTTGGTCACTGTCCAACACTCTCATACATAACAAGATGGAGAAAAGACTGAAATTGGCAATGATTTCCTTTTACTTGGATACATATTCAGGAGATCAGGACACACTACATTGGGAAAGTCTGCTTTTAGGGGCCTCTCCAAATTACTGAGGAGCAATGATGTCAATTGGAAGACTAAGGTGTGTCTGATTCAGACCATAGTCTTTTCAATCACCTGCTAAACATCTGAGAGCCGAACAATGGATAAAGGATGACAGAGGAAGAATGGATGCCTTTGAATTGTGGTATTGGAGAAGAACAATGAATATCCCATAGACTGTCAGAAGAACAAACAGATATGTCTTGGGGAAAGTGCAGCCAGAGCAATCCTTCAAGGCAAGGATAGCAAAGCTTCCTCTCACATAGTTTGAGCATGTTGCTAGGAGAGGCTATTCCTTGGAAAGGGACACCATGCTAGGGAAGGTGGAGGAGAGTCATTAAGAGAGGAAAACCCTCAACGAGATGGACTGACACAGTGACTGCAGCAATGAGCTCAACTGTGTCTGAGATGATGAGAACAGCACAGGATAGGACACGGCTCAGCTCTGTTGTTCATAGGGTCACTATAAGTCATACTTAGCTCAACAAAACCTAATAACAACAACAGAATCTTAAAAGCTTTGAGTGTTCCAAGGAGAATCAGGAATAAGACATAGAGTGCTTGGCAAATCGCCTCCATGAACTACTGCCTCGTTTTCTATATCTGAAGAAATGGATAATGGATAATGCTCTGCTTGATTGAACACTTTGAACAAAGAATCTATAAAAGAATCCTGATCAAAAGAGGGAAAACGCAGCACAGAATTTCAAATTCTCATGGACTCTAGACTTTCTGGAGCCAAAGGACCTAGATAAACCCCTAAAACTACTGCCTTGAGATAATCTTTAAAATGTATACCAAAAATATTCCCCAGAGAGAGAGTGTGTATTATATGTGTATACACACACATGCACACACAAAAGGACTGAAGCCTTTTTATAACAATAGTTGTTTCTCCGACTTCATAGAGTTTCCAGAGGCATGGATGCCACTCCTGCTTCCAAACCTGAATCAATCTGGGAACTCCACCAAACACTGCCCATGATGGGTAGCCATTATGATGTTTGACACACCAATGGCACAGTTGTTCAGCATCACAGCAACTCCAAGTTACTTCAGTGCAGCAAACAGACAGACCACTGCTATATCACTTAAAAGAATGTTCATCCCAAAATTAATTAACGTTTGTTACTACCTATTGCCTTTGGTGATCAAATTAACAGCAGCAACTTGAAAAATTAGATGGGAAATGGGCTTAGTGAGCTTATGTTAATTGGATAGGAACAGCTCAGTAAAGGTGAGAATGGTTCTACAATTCCAAGAATTGAATCCATGTTAGTGACTTGCACATGGAGATACTGCTGAATTGTGTATTTTGCTGTGTATAAGCTCAACAAAGACACAACAAAATTTGGAAAGGAAAAAAGCCAGAAGGTACCACAGAAGGTACAGGGGCAGAGGCAGGAGTGAGCATGAAGCAGGGGAGGTGGCAGAGCACGCCCGTGACAGCCAGGAGCCTTGTCATTCCCGCCCACCTGGGAAGGAGTGTTCGGTGACACCACGCAGGGAAAGATACAGTGCAGACGCTAACCCTGAATAATCATTTCTCCAGACAGGAATGGCACATTGTCATGTCCATTTCTACCTCATACCCTAAGCAGGCAGGAGTGGTTGCTGGGAAAGCCCAGGAGCAGAAATGTGGATGCTGGAGTCAGGTGTTGGGAGCATGAGAAAGCATCTTAGCATCTCCCAGGCCTCCAGTCTGGTACTTCTCACAGCACAGCCTAAGCCTCTACCCCATTTTACAGAGGAGAAGACTGAGGGTAAGGCCTTCATCTGGGACTCTGGTAGATCAACCTAGAAGCAGGCACACACTGATAGCTTCCCAGAAGGGCTGGAGACTGCTGTCCCGACCCCAGCTAACCTGCACCACGTGAGCACATGCAGTCCCCACCTCACAGGAGGTCATTTCATGTCCACGTCAGGCAGCCACGTCAGCCCACTGCAGCCAAAGCCTTGGGAGTTTTAACCATGCTACCAAGCAGAGTTCAAGGTGAACTGGCCGTTGGCCAAACAAGAACCTATCACCAGTCTGTAGCTCTGGTGCCTCCTTCAAACCCTGGCGCTGGGTTTGGGCACGGAGCATGCCTGTCAGTGAGCCTGGCATTACCAGGCCTGCCCTGCGCGACTCCACCCCGACGGCACAGCACCCAGCTGGCCAGTGGCTGGCAGGCATAGTAACCACCTGGAATGCTCCTTACTTTCCCATCCACGTGGCATGGCTGGCAGGAAGCTTGGGCACAAAGAGGGTCGCCTTCCCGGTGTCAACAGCAATCACACCATAGCAGTCTGGCTCAGTGACACCAAACGCCCAGTGAAAGAAGGATTCCTGGAGTGAGAGCAGAGACCCGGTCAGCAAGGTGAAAGCACGAGGCACAAGGGAACTTGACAGGCCACTGGACCCAACATCCCTAAGAGGAGCCCACTCCTCTTACCCCCGTACCTCACCCAGCCCTCTGCCCCTGCTCCACCTGTCCCTCCAGGGACTGGCAGGGGGTAAGCTGTGTTACCTATATCCTTGCTTGGTCTCCTCTGATGACATGGGCTTTGCCCAGCCCAGCCTCACCCCCAGCACAACCAGAAGCCCACGCTGGACCTCCTGGGACACAAGCACTTTCAAGCATCTCAAGGCCAGCTCAGCCCTCCTGACCCTCCACCCTCTGTCTCCCCACGGTTAGGCAAGACATCGCCTTAATTCAGACAGGCGGCTGGGCGTCTGCACTCAATCAATTCCTCCATTTAAGCCTTCTTACTTCCTTCTCCCACCCCCGGGGCAGCTGATGACTTCAGTGTTTAGCAATAAACACCGAGCTAAAAGAACATTATAAAGGTACGGCGTGGAGGAGGATCTCTTCTAAAATTACTCTGGTACAGCCTACGTGAGGAAGCCGCTAGCTGAATTTAGGAAAATGGTTTTTAAACAGCAGGATATGGAAACCTCAGGAAGCATCAAAACTATCCAAAAATAAACTCCCTGGAGCCCCCACGTCGCTGGCAGGCAGGGGATGGGCAGGCTCAAAGTCACCAGGCTTGCGGCAGCAGGAACAGTGCAGCTGAGGGAAGGGGCAATCACCCCACGGGTGATCATCTGAGTGGACACAGCCCTCTCTGCCACCTCCTCTCCCCACCCAGCTCTCCTCACACACCCCTGCCGCCTCCTGAGCTGGAGAACATGATCTACTATGCACTGCCTGTCTTCAGGATCTGCGGTCCCCACTGTGGCCAGGCCCAGCTCTAGGTGAGGTGGTGGCTGTCATTAAGTGCCGTCGAGGTAATTATGACTCAAAGCAACCCTACAAACAGTGGATCAGGTCCTTGCCCTATGCTGCGCCATCCTCAACTCTCAGTACACCGGAGCCCGCTGATGAAGTCACTGTGTTGATCCATCTTGCTGAGTCTTCACCTCTTTCGCTAATGCTCCACCCTTCCAAGCATGATGACTTTTCCAAGGACGGCCTCTTCCCAACAACGTACACAAAGTAGGGACTTGAGAGTAAAAAATAGAGGCTTCACCAACAGTTTCAGAGAGCTCTGGTAGTCTAGTGGGCAAAAACCTACGCTGTCAACCCAAAGGTACAGGGTTCAAATCTACCAACTGTTTGTCAAGACACAGGCAATTTCCTTCTGTGCGATTTACTCCCTCTGAAAATCTTGAGAGTCAGCTCTGACTCAACAGTACTTAACAACAAAAATGACAGCTTCACAACTTGGCAAGTCATCTCCCTTATGGGCCTTTATTTCCTCATCTGCAAAATGGACTCAAAGAGAGTTGGTCTTTGCTTCAAAGCCTGTCTTCCTGTGGGGTCCCTTCGTTGGTGTCCCTGCTCCTGGTTCTTGGGGATCAAATGCATGCTGGCTTCCTGAAACCAGCCCTCCAGCAGGTCCTGGAACCACAGGGCATCCTGGGACCACTTCCAGCTGAGGGAACCAAGGCCCCATGAGGGGCACAGGCTCAGCACTAGCCATGTCAAGTCTAGGTCTCCAACTTCTGTCCACCCCAGATGAGCCACCCTGGTCATACACCTCCCAGGAGACCTCTAGAGCCTCCCATCTTTCCTATAGCCACAGCTTGGCTGCAGGAACTTGGCTGCCCATCTGCACCTCTCCTGGCCCCCAGCCATGGACAGATGTTCACTACAACCCTCTCCACCTGCCCTCTCCTCTGCATACCATCAGTCAGAAGTCACCAAGGTCTTCAAGATATTTTTACTTCCGTCCCTGAAATCCCATCCTGAACTCTCGCCTGAGAGAGCTAAGGCTGGCTGCCCCCTAGACAGAGTTATGGGAGTCTGTACCCCGCCCCCCGCAGGCATGTGGGGGCTCACCTGCCGGAAGAGCACCCCAGTGTCCGTGCAGTAGCGCTGGGTTTCCTCCCCACCCTGCAGCAGCACCACCGCACCGGCTGGTACCTCCTGCTTCTTCCGCAGCCGCTCACACAAGCGCCTGCGGTTCAGCGCAAAGAGCGCCAGCGGCACCTTGAGGGTTTCGTTGCCCAGCCAGAAGGAAGGTCTGCAAAGATAAGAGAGGGGACACACAGTCACACAGGCCTGGGTCAGCACCACCAAGCACTGCCCCCTCCCCTGGACAACCGGAGGACCAAGTCCGCTGTGGGTGTCCCAGCAAGCCCAAGCCCCATCCTCTAGTGACCTGAGGACCACAGGGCTGGTCACCCACACCCCTCTCCTGCAGCCATGAGTGGTACCCACTGTGCAGAGGGACAGTTGGGCCTAGTTAACCTGAGTGGGCAGGTGAAGCCTGTAAAGGGGAAGCTGTCACCATCTGGAGAGGACACACTCAGCTCTCGCCCTCAGTGAGCTTCCAGTCTGGATCCCCACCCCCACCAGAAACTCCTCTGCAAACTGTAGGGGGGCCTTCCCCAGTAGGTACAGGCAATGCACCGGGTACCTGCACCAGGTAATCCGCACACAGCCCTGGCAAGTCCGGTAAGGACAGGCTGAGCGGGCTAGGGAGGGATCATGGTAGGATGCAGAGGCCCGGGGGGAGCTGTAGGATCTCACCTTGGAGGGTGAAGGGAGCTAAGCGATAGTCTCACCTCCACCCTGCTTGCTCCCAATTTCACTGAGCAGACAGGTACCCTCAAAAAGAGCAGTTATCCACAGTACCCAACACCCTCAGTGCCTCTGGACCTTTCCATATCAGCTGCTCCCTGCACCCTTCTCCTTCCTGATGTCTCCCCTGTATGGGACCGTCGTCAGCCTCCAGACATGCAGTCATGTCACCAGTGTGGTGGAAAACCAAAGGACTCCACGTGACTCCCTTTCTCTCTCTGCAGCAAAGTCCACCATTTCCAACATCTTGACTGCCCACCCGCCCCTCAACCCAGCCCATACAGCTGCCCTCCATGGCCACAGCACAGCCTATCAGGTCGAGGTGACCCACACAGTGCAGTCCTCAGTGACAGTGACCCCCACAGTCTTCACGGACTCCTCCATGCACATGATCCCACCAAGCACCAATCCCTGCAGCTCCCTCTGCCCTCAGGCTCCTCAGTTCAATCCCTTTGCTGGAGCAATGGGGCACAGTCCTGGGTCTCTTCCCTGAGCACACCACAACCCCCAGGACAGCCGATCCCACTTCAACCTTCCACCTTAACTACCCTCTGGGCCTCAGGCCCACAGTCCCCCCTCCACATTCTACCCAATATCTCCCCTCAGAAGCCAGGCAGCATGAACCAACCAGCACAACATAGACTTAGACCCTGCCTCCCTCCTCTGGCTTCCCCCTCTGTGAAAGGAGCTGATGCCCTTTGACTTGCTTAGGACAAAGCCAGGGGATCCTTTTTGTCTTCACTCCACAATCAACTCATCAGCAATTCCTGTGGCTCTAAGCTCCATACACACCCAGACAAGCCACTTGTCCCCTCCCACTGTCACCTTCTATGTCAAACCTGGACAAACCAGAGATCACTCAACTGCTCTGGCAGCCCAGCATCGCCCTCATCCTGGACTCTACCCACAACCAGAGTTTATCCTTTAAAAACCTGAATTAGAGCATACCCTGCCCTGCTCAAACCCCTCCCTCCCTTCTGTACTCAACAACGCACGCACACGGGCATCTGGGCAAACCCACCGAGTTGCCTTGCTCCCACCACACACACATTCTCACTGTGGTGCACTGCTGAGTCAGACCCAATCCATAGCCGACCTTCCAGCAGGTTTTCAGAGGCAGTTAATCGCACGGGAGGAGACTGCTCATCTTTCTCCTGCGTAGCAGCTTGTGGATTTGAACCACACACATTTGTGTTGGGTAGGGCAATTCTTCAAGAGGCTGGACTTTATAAGGAGGAATGTGGCATCAGGATTGGCGGAAGACTCATTAACAGCCTGCATTATACAGATGACACAACCTTGCTTGCTGAAATTGAGGAGGACCTGAAGCATTTGCTACAGAAGGTCAAAGACTCTAGTCTGCAATATGGATTGAAGCTCAACATGAAGAAAACCATGATTCTTATCACTGGACCAACTGGCAGCACCAAGATAGATGGAGAAGAGACTGAGATTGTTAACAGCTTCAGCCTGCTCAGTTCCACAATTAACACTCTTGACACTAAAACTCAGCAAATCAAAAGAGGAATTGCTTTAGGGAATCTACTGTCAGGACCTCTCCAGAGAGCTGAAGAGCAAGGATGTCAGTCTAGAGACCTGATCCTAGTCAAGACTACAGACCTGCACCTGATCCTGGCCGTGGTCTTCGCAATCACTTGCTACACCTCAGGGAGTTGGACAGTGACCAAAGATGACAGAAGAATTGATGCCTCTGAGCTGTGGTGCTGGACAAGAGTCTCGAACATACTATGGACTGCCAAGAGAAATAACAGTTCTGTCCTGGAGAGGGTGAAACCAAGCTGCTCCTTGGAGGTAAGGATTTTGAGACTCCACCTCACATACTTAACGGCATGTTGCCAGAAGGGACCAGTCTTTGGAGAAGAATATCATGCTTTGAAGGGTCAAGGGAAGCAAAGGAGAGGAAGATCTGGACGAGATGGAAAGACACAGTAACTGGGGTAAATGAGGGTGGGTGTGTCTGAGACAGTGAGATTGGCTCAGGATGGAGCAGAATGCACAGCTATTGTGCTTAAGGTCATAGTCAATAAGACTCAGAGCCCCACCAGAGTATACATTCTTTTTTTTTTTCCCCTAAATTTTCATTTGACTTTTAATGAACATTTACAGAGATTTTGGATTTCTATTCATTGTTGCGCTTTTCTCCTTGCCCAGCCCTCCCCCCACAGTTCGCTCCTCTCTTTGAAAAGTAAAAGAAAAATTACTTCTTTGGTATACAATCCCCCTGCACCCCTCCCACCGCCCCAAGTACACTCCACTTGTTGTTGTTGTTGTTGTTATGTGCCATCAAGTCACTTGCGACTCATAGTGACCCTACGTACAACAGCCCTAAACTCCGCTCCGTCCTGTACCAATCGCACCATCTCCGATACACCCATCCCAATTGCCCCAGTCACTGAGGGCCTTCCCCTCCTGAGCTGTCCCTCCACCCTCCCAAGCATGATGTCCCTCTCCAAGGACCAGTCCCTCCTTATATCATGTCCAAAGTATGTTAGACGAAGCCTCAGAATCCTTGCCTCCAAGGAGCAGCCTGGTTTAACCTCCTCTAGGATGAACACGTTTGTTCTCTTAGCAGTCCCTGGTATATTCAATACACTTCTCCAACACCACAGCTCAAAGGCACCAATTCTCCTTCTATCATTCCAAGTCATTGTCCAGCTCTCTGATTCATAGCAAGTGATTCCAAAGACCATAGCCTGCATCAGGCACACTTTAGTCTCCAGACTGACATCATTGCTCTTCAATACTTTGGAGAGGTCTCTGACAGCAGACTTTCCCCAATGCATTTACTATCCTGGCTGCTGGTGCCAACAGTGTTGACTGTGGAGTTCAAAGGGCAGTGTGGGAAGACAAAGTATTATAAGGAAATGTGCAAAGAGCTGGAGTCAGAAAATCAAAGGGGCCAAACTCGCTCAGCATTACTTAAGCTCAAGGAACTGAAGAACAAATTCAAGTCTCGAGTTGCAATACTTAAGGATGCTCTGGGCAAAATACTAAATGATCTAGGAAGCATTAAAATAAGATGGAAATGGGCAAAAGACATGGTAAGAATTTTCACAGAGGAAGATATTCAAATGGCAAACAGACACATGAAGAAATGTTCCAAATCACTGGCAATAAGAGAGATGAATATCAAAACCGCAATGATGTACCATCTCACTCCAATAAGAGTCGCAAAGTTTAAACAGGCAACAAGTAATATATGTTGGAAAGGATGTAGCAAGTAAGGAACTCTTATACACTGTTGATGGGATTGCCAAATGGCACAACCATTCTGGAAGGCAGTTTGGTGCTTCCTCAAAAAAAGCTGAACATAGGTGCAACTACTGTGGAAGGCGGTATGGCGCTTTCTCAAAAAGTTGCAAATAGAGATACCATTTGACCCAGAAATTCCACTACTGGGAATATGCCCCAAAGAAACTATAACTGCCACCCAAGCAGATATATGCACACCCATGTTTATCGTGGCTTTGTTCACAATAGCAAGGAGCTGGAAACAATCTAAGTGCTCATCAACAAATGAATGGACAGAGAAGCTGTGGTATATTCACACAATGGAATACTATGCTGCATTGAAAAACAAGGAACTCATGAAATATTATTTAAAATGGGTGACCCTGGAGGACATTATGCTGAGTGAAGTATCTCAGTCACAAAAGGACAAATACTACACAGGGCCACTGTTGTAAAACAGGACTGACCTTGGGGTTGAGGGGAGACTGAGAAAGATGGGTTCAATAATGTATAGTGCATTGAAACAGATGAGGGAGAAAATGGTTTAAAAGGGATATGTGATTAGGTATTTTTGTCATGACGGGAGTCCAGAGAGAAGGCTGCATAGTGGAGTGGACCTGGAGGGAGGGTCTGTAAAACAATGAAATAATTTTTCTTTTACTTTTCCAAGAGGGTAATGTACTAGGGGGAAGGGTAAGGAGGGGATAAAAGTGCAACAATGAATGAATGGAAATCCAAAGGCTCAGTAAATTTTCATTGACATTAGTAATAAATTAAAAAAAAAATTTAAAAAAAAGCTGAACATAGAGATTCCATATGGCCCAGCTATTCCACTACTTGGAATATACCCTGAATGAGAACTGAGGCACAAACTGATTTGTACACCAATGTTCACAGGAGCATTATTCACCATTGCAAAAACATGGAAACAGCCCAAATGTCCAACCACAAATGAATGGATTGAGAAATTATGGTACATTCACACAATGGAATACTATGCAGCATGCAGGAGTAATGATTTTGTAAATTATTACCTAACTTGGGAGAGACTGGAGAGCATTATACTGAGTGAACTAACTCAGTTCCACAAGGATAAATATTGTATAAAACCAATGAGTATAAGGATCCAAGAGGGGTGGGAGAGTTGGAAGCAGAGAGATGTGAATGTGCGTGTGCGGGGGGAATTAA